GTGACCCTTCTCAGAAACGAGGAAGGGCCAAGCAGCTTCATGGGCAGAAGTCGGCAGCAGTTCAGTGTTCGCTCTACTGCCTCAGATCAGACAGTTTCTCACTCTGTCTTCCTATTCTCATGAGACCTTGTATCCCCAAGTAAGTGTGGTTATCACAATGCTAACACTTGCTATGTTCCTTTCTCCTTCAAGCCCAACCACAAGTGACAGGACCAGTTTCATGGAGGAGGCAACTCTGGCTGGGTCTCCACCAACTCACTCAGTTCATTTGTATCTGTGCTGCACACTTGGGGTTCGTGCTGAGCACTGTAGCCTTGTGGCGAACATTGAGGACAGTAGAGACTGGCATGTCAGCCGGTGACTGGGATACCAGGACATAGGTGGACTGTCCAGACCTCAGAGAGCCCGGAGGAAGCACAGGGAATAGGTATTCCAAGAGCTAGCAGTTGGCTAGGAAGGAGAGGACCCTTGGTTAGATCTTTTTGTTTTGGTTTGGTTTTTGAGACTGAATCTCTCACTCTGTAGCTAAAGATGGCCTGGATTTCATTATGTAGCTCAGGCTGGCTTCAGACTCGTGGTGAACTCCTCAGCCTCTTGAGTGATAGAATTACAAGAATAAGCTATGTGCTCAGCTTTTTGTTGGGTCCCTGCTTCCTCCCAAGATCACCCCTAGGAAATATACTCCAACACCATAGCTACAAACCGAAACCCTCAAAACCCAACCTGCAGCCTCCCCACACCACCTACTGAGCCCCAACCACTAGTCTTAGGAGCACTGAAGAGGGCTACTTAAAGCTGGTACAGGCCTTTAATCCCAGCGCTCAGGAGGTCAAGGCAGACAAAGCTCTATGAATTTGAAGCCAGTCTAGTGAATGTAGTGAATTCCAGGTCATTAAGGGCCACGCAGTGAGATCCTGGCTCAAAAAATTAAAATTAAAAAACTCCTGGCACAAGGAAGGCAATGGAGGGCATTCCAGACCAGGTGTGACCGCCCTCAGTTATACCACTAAAGGGCATTCCAGACCAGGTGTGACCTACACCACTGAAGGATATTCATCGTCCATGATGCTCAGCTTAAGATGCTTGCTCAGAGCCATCCTGGAGCTCAAGTCAGTTTTTCATGGGTTTATCTTGTTTCCGAGACAGTGTGTCACCACAGAGAACAGGCTGGTCTTGAACTTGTGATCCTCCCGCACCAGCCTCCCAAGTGTTGAGATTATCAGTGTGAGCCACCACACCTGGCTTAACCTTACACGGACTGTTTATCTTCACCCTCTCTGGACTCCTCCAAATCTCCAACCTTCTTGCCTTTTGCAAAAATGAGTCCACAAGGTGCTGAAGTCCTTGGCGTGTAAGCACGAACACCTTAGTCTGAGCCACAGAACCCGTGTAGAAAAAAGCCGGGGGGAACAGGGTACACTTAGGAGCCTAGCATTGGGGAGACAGAGACAGGTGGATTCTTGGGGTTTGCCCAGTCAGGCTAGCTGAATTGATAAGTGCTAGGCCCATAGAGAACCTGACTCAAAAAAACAAGTGGAGGCTGACCTCCAGCCTGCACATGTGTGCACGGATATGCACACACCTCTCTCTCCCTCCCTCCCTCCCTCCCTCCCTCCCTCCGTCCTTCCCTCCCTCCCTCTCTCTCTCTCTCTCTCTTTCTCTGTCATACACACATACACAATTTTTTTTAAATGAAACCATACCCTCATTGTGGAAAATGGTCAGCCAGGCCAGTCTGTGGAAATGGGGAAGTGTCCCCTCATCAGTGACCACAGACCACACCTGTCTTCCAGTTGTTGGCAGTGTCAAAAGAATTTATTTCAAATCCGTTTAAGAATGTGGTAAAACTCAAGTTTCCAAAAAGTAATACAGGAAGTTCAACCAACCCCCTAAAAGACCAGAAAACACAGTGTTTGCAATTCAAAAAATACAAACGCTTGTGGATACCTATACAAAAATTAGAAAAAATTACGTTCCTTACCACTGCCCACCCCTCTGTGTTTTCAGTGAAACATGAACAGCCACAGGACCAAGAGCTGCCACCAAATACCAACCACTGGGGACAGAATCAATGTGGTAGGGAGGGTGGGGAGAGAAGGCAAGGAAAGGCAGGAAAATGGGGCCAAAACAACAGTACACAGCTTTCTGTCTCTGTTAAATTCCTTTGCCAACATTATACAAACACCTCTCATGCTCAGTGCGCCGTGTAGTGCAAAGGCGGCGGTCTACGTCATGCATTCACGTTTTCTGTCGTGTCTACACCCCACTCTCTGCTGGTGCTGAGAAAGTGGGGGACTTAGGAAGTACAGTCTCTGGGGGTTTGGAGTTGGAAAGGCCACTACAGGCCACGCAGGGGGCTCTGCCTGTCATCCCAAGGCCTGTATAGCATCTGCTCAGAACTGCACACCAAGGCTTGGTGCCCAGTGCCGCCCTGCTAGCCCTCAGGCTCTGGGACCTTTCCTAGGGCTGGGTTGACAACTGGGCCCTCAGTGAGCTGCACAACTTGAGGGAATCACCTCGCTTAGAGTCAAGTCCCACCCAGCTCCTTCCCCTGAATTCAGCACGATTCATGGGGAAGATCAGGCTCCCCGCCCTTCACAGCTGTGCCCCAAGTTCCAACTGCAGTCACTTGTCTGGAATTGACTTGTCACTAGTTGTCCGAAGCTAGAGGTCCCAGTTCAGCTGTCCGTCATAACATTAAAATCCACCCCCACTGCTGGGTAAACAGAAGTGAAAGGCCATGGGTAGGGGGATTCCTTAAAGACCAGAACCGAAGGAACGGGGCAGAAGGCTGGCTAACATCTTTTCTTGGCTTAGGGGACACCGTATACAGATGCCTTTAGCACTCAAGAGAAGGTTGCTGACAGGTTTGGCTGTTCACGGCCCTGGCACGTCACATTAACCCAGGCTCTCCATTAATGGATGTGCTTGCTGTGGTCCCGCGAACTGTCTGAAATACCAGGTGCTATGTGAACAGACTTGCTTGGGTGGAAGACACTGTGGTTAGAGGACGCAGTAAAGTCATCCAGGTTTGAGCCACCGAATGAGTCATTCAGCCTGAACCTTACTGATGAGTCTATTCCATGATCCACACAACACAGAGAGGAGGTAGTTGGCATGACCAGCCCTGTTTGCAGGTAGGGATACTGAGGCATGGAAACAAGCAGGATATTCACCTCATGCATGCCATAAGCCAACATCAAAGCCAGTTTAAGAGGTAAGGGCTGAGAGATGCTATACTTTCCCATCCTGCCTCAAGCCCTCCCTTACCTTAGTTCACCTCTCCATCTCTTGAGGACCTCTTCAGTCAAGAGCCCGTACCAGGCTGTCACCAACAACTGGCTATTCTGGGGGTAACAGAGTTCCCAAGACCACTGAGTGTGAACTGTGAACATCTTCTAACAATATATGATATTTCTTTAACTCCTTGAGGGCCCCAAATCCATTAAGATGTCCCTGTTCCTTTCCAGAAAATGTGGCCGAGAAAAATGAAGGGAAGGAGCCTTTCTTTCCAAGAACAGAGATGGGCTTGGCCACTGTCTTCAGTGAGCAGAAATGTGAGCCCCTTTGTCCTCACATGCTTCACTGAAGACCTGTGAAGAATTCCCACATTGGGGTAACACGAGGCCAGTGGCTTTGGGACGGACCTTCTATGTGACACAGGAATGGGTACCAACACTATGAATGCCAACACCCAACAAATCAATATGACCCAGATCCAGGTCAGCCCCAAGGGGGCATCTGGATACCTCTGGGTATTGGGATTGTCACACTAACTGGGGGTGCTCTTGGCATCTTGAGGATCGAGACAAGGGGTGCTTAATGCTCTCCAGCACTCAGGCCCCACCCAAAAGGTCAGCATTAAGCACCCCCGGAGTCACTCCCACAGTCCTGTGATGGTGTTCTTCACACTTCCATATTGAGATTCCCCCAGATGATTTTATCCACTCTCTTCACCCCTCTGCAATGGGAGACCATAGGGGGTGGAGACAGACAGTCTCATCAAGGGCAAACCCAGAGACTGAGCCTCTCACTCACAGAATTAAGGCTGACATGCTGCCCCTGGGAAAGAAAACTCACGTGGGCTCTGCGCTCTGGCCTTGACCTGAAAGGGCCAGGGAAGGGGGAGCACAACGTGAGCGAGAGAAAGGGCTCACCCTGGTAGCATATTGCTTCCTGGCTCTGTACCCCTGGGGCCTACAGAGCCACTAAAGACATTTTTGGGATCACAGAGCACTCAAAGGACTGAAGGTGCAGCCTGGACCACACACAGCGTGAGTGCCAAGGCCAGGCAGTTGTCCTCCAGATAGGACAGAAGAGGAAAAGCCTGGGCTGGGGGTCCTGCTGTCCTACTGTGAGGGAGGAGGAGCTGTGTGTGGTCTCGGTGCCAGTGGGGACTTGTCATTCCCTAGCCCACACAGAGAACAGGCTCCAGAGTTGAATTTCTTTCTCAGACTTACCCTAAATTCCTACTCAGTGGCCAACCAAGGAAGGCCTCCCCTTGACGTCATTTACATATAGCAGTTACCTACTCAGTGTCCTAAGCCCCCATGATCTGTCTGTCTGTCACGTGCAATTCCAGGGCCTTACCACTGTGAGGAGTTAATCCCTTCGCTTTTTGATCACCTCAAACCCCCAAGGGTGTCGTACCGCCCTGCCCTTCTCTCATCTGTGCATTCTTGTCCCTGAAAGGCGCCCTGTGCAGAAGGTGGGGGAGGTGGCTGTGCAGGACTGCCCGGGTTGGCCCTGGCATCAGCGTATTGCTTCTGGGCTCCAGTGAGCAAAGGGAGACATTCAGCATCCCCACTCATGCTGCTGTGGGAGACGGGGAGCTGGATCTTCCTTGCTCAACTCCAGGGAACCTCCTTAAAGAGGTCAACTGAGTTGGGTGTGATGCTCACCTCTGTAATCTCAGTACTCAGGAGGCTGAGGCAGGAGGAGTGCTATGAGTTCAAGGCCAGCCTGAGCTATACAGTGAATTCCAGGCCAGCCTGGGCTACAGTGTGAGACTATGTCTCAAACAAACTAAAATAAGAAGGAGGAAGAGTAAAAGGAGGAGAAAGGAGGAAGAAGAAGAGGAGGAAGAGGAGAAGGAGGAAAGTGATCTCTGAGAGCGCTGGGGGCTCAGTGGTTGAGCATGTGCAAGACCAAGGCCATGGGTTAGATTTTCCAGCACCAGAAAAAAAGTTCCCTGGAATGGTGGTCATTTCCTTATCTCCCCAAAGCCATCCACAGCTCCAGGTCTGCCCAAGTGACTCCTGTTTCCCAGGCAGGTGCTTGACCTGGGCTTTGAAGACTGCGGGGCTCCTCCGGCCAGCTTTTTTGTGTGTTCTTGCTCCCAGGTCTCTGGACTCTTCCACCAGAGAGTCAGACACCTGAACCACCACCATCACCATCACCATCACCACCACCCCAACCATGGCCACACGTGACTGCCTGGGTCTTCGCTTTGAAGCGCCTTTCCCTCCATCTGCTGGGGTCTTCCAGAACTGTGGCTGTGGGTCAACAGGACCAGTTGAGCAACTGAGGACATGGTAGCCAGGGTCCTGTGAGCTCCCCTGAGGGCTTTAGATGGAGTTATGGACCACTGAGCCAGAGACCACTCAGCAGGAAGAGAGTCCAAAGAAGCCAAAGCTACACACCTCTGCATTGAAGGTGACTCCCGGACCCAATGTGGAGGCTGGACAGTGCTGAACTGCTCCTGGTGACGTCGGAGTATCTGAGGAAACAAGGGCCATGAGCAAGAGCTCTGAGGTAGGACTGGTAGGAGGGTCTGTGCAGCCCAGAGGTGGGTACTTGGGAACAGGTGCAGGACCTGTGCGCAAAGGCGGCGAGGAAGCACGGTTGGGGTCGTCGTGCAGATGCATCCGATGAAAACCAGCCCAGCTGATGGGCAAGTCATTCCTCCGTGTAAAACGAAACACCTGATAAATTCTTTCCAAAGGAGAGAGCAAGGTTACTTCCAGGCAGAACAGGAGACTGCGGGATGCTGGAAGGGAGGATGCGGGGCCTGAAGGAGGGTGACTCCATGTGGACCTCACCAGCAAGAGCAGCGCCTCCCTGCACCCCAGAGAACTCTGGCTCATGTGGAAAGACAAGTTGTAAGGTGTCATCATCGAGTCTCAGCCTTTCTCCAGGCCTCGTCTATCCCATTGTGACAGAGCCACCCATATGACCACCAGGGTTACTTCTCATGTTCATGATGTTTCCAGCAGGGCATCCGGGGAAGTTACAGGGGCTTTGATGTGAGGCCTTCCCAGCGTCTGCTGCTTCTGTGCTCAAGGCCTAGCCCAGGAAGGAAGGCAGAGTAGGTAGATTTCCATCAATGTCTGGGAAAGCAGGTTCTAGAAAAAGCCACCGCTGTGCAAAGGCATGTCACTGCCTTGGATTCCAGTGTTTCCGTTTGTAACTAAGAACAGAATGAATAAAATTTAACTGGTTGTTACACACACCGTGTGTGTGTGTGTGGGGGGTTGATAGCACATGGCTAATAAAGGCCTTAAGGAAGCCCTTCTGAAGGGTTCTGGTAGATTAATGTCCCTTTCATTAGTCCTGAATTAGTTTGTCGTGTATTGTTGTAGTGTATTGTTGTAGTGTATTGAAGACTCCATATCCCAAAGGCTCAAGGTCAGTTTCTCCCAGCAGAGGTGACAAGCTGCCGGTTTGACAGGAGCAGAGTCCTAGAAACAGGTTACACCCTGGCGTGGAGTGACATCACCGCGCAGACTCATCTTGGGATACCCGTCCCAAAGTTAGCCTTCCTCTCTCCCTCCAGGAAAAGAATCTAAGGGGAAACCAAACTTTCCAAACAGTGTCAGACAACATCAGCCTGAAACCAAAGGCTTCCAGAGCGCCACCTTGAGGGCACCCTGGGGACCATAAGCTCCGTGGCATAGAGGTGAGAGGTCACTCCTGACAGACATAGGCAGCCACAGTATGGCCTTGTTACTCACAGCCCCTTTACTCTCCATTCCCCCCCAAAAAGCATCTTCAGACGTTCGTTCGCTGGCTGCTGGGACCCAGGACTTCCTGTTGTGCCCTTGTCCTCCGCGAGGGCCTCCATGACAGCCAGCTAGGCAGCAGGAGCCACCAGGCTAGTTGCCTGACAGCTTTGGCCGTCCTAGGTTTGTTGGCACCTCCAGTCCTGTGTGCAGGGTGACCTGGAAAAGAAGATGAGACAGTAGGGGTTGGCTCAGTGGCAAAGCGCTTGCATGGTGTGCACAAGACCCGAGCTCCCAACCCTAACACGGAAGAAAGAGGGAGAGGAGGAAGAGGCAGGAGGCCAAGGAGATGGAGCAGAGCAAAGGGCAGGCGAGGCCGTCCACAGCACCAAACGCTGTGGCAGCACTGTAACCACATGCCGTGCCGGGTGTCCACTGGAGAACTTGTGCTTTGGGCTTTGTTACTCTTTGGTCCAGGTCACATTGCTAAGGCTGTGACCCCCTTTCTTCATCATAGTAGCTGCACTGATGACCAGCTGGGTGCCCTGTTTGGCTAGTGCCATCAAGCCCGGCAGCAGAGGGGGTCTGGTTCTCACAGCCAAGTATCTAGCGGCACCTGCATCTTCTCTAATAACCCGACAGCTACTCTGTGCTCCTCAAATCCCTTTTCTTCTTTTTTCTTTTAGATTTTGTTTATTTGTTTTGGTTTTTTGAGACAAGGTTTCTTTGTGTAACAGCCCTAACTGTCCTGGAACTAGCCCTGTAGACCAGGCTGGCCTCGAACTCACAGAGATCTGCCTGCCTCTGCCTCTCAAGTGCTGGGATTAAAGCCATGCACCACCCTTTTTCAAGCAACCAATCAGTTGTTGGGCAGTAGACACAAGGCAGGTCCCGGTATGGCTCCGGGGATCGAAGGAATCTGTTAGAAGTGAAGGGATGGATGCCCCTGTCCTCCGACCTCCTGTTTGGCCTGTGTCAGGTGCTCCCTGTGCCATCTCATTCCCTTGGGACACTGAACCTCTGCTTCTCCCTGGAACCCCACAGAGCCCGTTTGCTCCAAGTTATCAAGTAGAAACTGAATGCAGTACTTGGGACCTCCTCTACGGATGCTCAGAGAGGCCAGCATGCAGGCTGCCTGTCTGGTGAACGAGGAGGCCAGTCTCATTACAGTGCTCATTGTTCAGGAAGCAGACACGTCGCAGGGCAGGCCAGCTGTGTTTCCAAGGATACCTGCACGTTTCGGTTGAGGCTGAGGGCAGGCATGAAGACCCCATCTACGTGACTGAAGGCTGTGGGGCCCTGCTGCTGCCCATTGATGAAGAAGGTCAATGTGTGCTTGTTCAGGTCCAGCAGCACGCCCACCGTCGCCCCCTTGCACACTCCGCCTTCAGTCCTGGGAAGACAAGCCAAGAAAACCTGTCACCACACAGCTCATGATGTCACAGTAACTGAGAGTACCCTAGACGATACTGGGACCGCCCTCATCCAAAATCAGTCTCCAAGGGCGTGTGTGCGTGTGCGTGTGTGCACGTGTGTGTGTGTGTGCGTGCGTGCATGTGTGTGTGGCTATGCGTGTGTGCACGCACACGTGTGCATATGCGCGCGTGTGTGCATACATGCGTGCATGTGTGGGTGGGTGTGGCCATGTGCGCGTGCACGTGCACGTGTGTGTGTGTGTGTGTGTGTGTGTGTGTGTGCATGTGTGTGTGTGTGTGTCAGACACAAGAGAAGACAGTCCTGAGGGACTAAAGCTGCTCAGCCCCTTCTTATCCATAGTGTCTGAGACTTACACACCAGGGAATGAGAGTTTGGCAGCTGGATCCCTCCTGAAAAACCACAGGGCACCAAGTGTGAGCACAGGAGGGAAGTAGCAAGGTCATCTTTCTGTGTTAGATCCGCGCTGATACCGAGCTGGATGGAGATGCAGGTACCACGTCCCAGAGACAGTTTGAAAGGACATTCCCCTTTAGTTCACCTCGTTAACTAAGGGCTCCCTTAGCACCAACCTCACTCAGCCCTGGGAGGAAACTGTGAGTCCTTGGTTAGGACTGAGCCAGGGGCAGAGGTGAGAAGTCTTTAGAAGAAGTGTTTTCCTGACACGAGGTCTTTAGCAGGACCTGGTGGGCTGACTGGGAGGAGGATGCCTCTCACGAGGTCAGGTGACCTGGAGGTGTCCTAGGACTCAGTGGAGAAGGGTCCCACAGAGGGAATCTCGAACAGGACAGTCGATGCATTTCTAATACTAAACACCAGGTGGCAGTAGTGACAAGTCTGCCCTGCCTGCTTTCTACACAACCACCCCTAGGTCACATCTGGAAGTTGTATTTCCTCTGGGAGGACCGGTCACCCGCATTTGTCTCACACCTGTGATATGGGAGGCATGCAAACAGGTGTAGTTCCTCCCTCTGCTGTTTTTGGACCCTCATGTTCCTTCTGGTCCTCTATGGGAAGCCAAGGGGCTGGCTGGCAAGGGCTCCAGAGCATTTGGGGACTATGACAGCCTGTGGCCTGGAGATTGAGGACTTCCTATCACAGGAGACTTCACTGGTGTCCTCTCTAAATCCTAACAGCACCTCTGAGTCTCCCCGGGTCTGAACAAAGTCCAGCCTGCCTAAATGTGCCTCATCGTCTGCAACAGAGATAGGGCTTTTGTGAGGAGCAAGGGTGCTCAGGTAGCCCCCTTGCATCCTACGGTATCAAGCAGAGTCAGCAAGCGATGCATGCTTAAGGTTATTACTGCACTCTGTGATGGGGGTTGGTTGCTGTATTGGCTCCAGCACACAGACACGGAACTGGTAGGCCAGGGTGGTCTTGGTCCCTCTGTGGGTTAGAGCTGGAGAGAGGTCAGCCTGTAGCACCCAGTAAGTCCACAGTACCTAGTCAGCCTGCATCTGCAGGTTGGCCTGCACTGCCTGGTCATCCTGGACCACCTGGTCGGCCTGTGGCATCTGGTTAGCCGTCAGCAGTTAGCCAGCAGCCTACGTCACCTGGTCAACTTGCATCACCTGGACAGCCTGTATCACTTGCTTAGCCTACATCGCTTTATCTGCAGTACCTGGACAGACTGCTTTGCTTGGTTAACCTGCACTGGTCAGTTCCATAGCTCAGCTAGAGAGTCCAGGGATAGCCGCTTCCCTTTGGAGAGGAGGACATTACCGGTGAAAAGATAGTGGTCAGGGAGGACCTGAGAGTCCTCAGGCAAGCTCCTGGCCAAACTAGACCCGACTTTCCTGGGGGAGGAGTTGGTTACTCGCTGAAGAGAGCACAGCGAGCTTTCTCTAAGAGCAAGGAGGGGGCCAAGAGCACAAGCTCCCAGGGACAGACCAGCCCTGCCAGGAGCCCAGCTCCTTGAGGGTGAAGGTTTTGATGTTTTCTCCAGGGCACTGGTAGGGTCTTTCCAGGCAAACCACCGACCATTTCAGGCAAACCACCAGCCGTGGCAGTAACTTCTGTTCCCTCTGTGGGAAACAGCTCTCCCAGTAGCTCTGTGCAGTGACTCAGGCTTAGCTTGGCGATTGCAAAGAAAATTGGAGCAGGACCCGTAAGATAACCATACATTAAGCTCCCAGCAGAAAGTCACTGTGAGGCCAGCTGCGGGGTGGAGAACCTCTAGGCCAGAGCCGCTCCTGACGTCAAGTACTTGCAGTTATGCCACAGGCAAACGATTTACTTCTCCAAGTCATTGCCCAAGCCCCCCAGAACTAGAGTACAAAGTACCTCAAAAGCAGCTTGTCTCCCGACACTTGGGGACAATCAAAGGGACCCTGGTCTGCAAGCCTCTCATTGCCAACCCCCGAGTCCCCGGAGGATGGGGCGAGTGCGCACCTGTTGGTGTGTGAGTTACAGTGCATGAACCAGCTGCGGTTGTTGTCCACGTACATAGCCCAGGCCTTGTCATCCTTGCCCAGCATCATGTCCTTGACGACGCTGGCCCTGGCCACCCCGAAGGCAGGGTCTGGGTGGTTGTCATAGCGGTCCACGTGCAGCTCCCAGTAGTGCACGCCTTTGGAGAACGCAGCCGTGCCTAGCACCACCCGGTCGTCATAGCTACTGCAGGTGGCTGTCTGGTTGTCATTAGATAAGATGATGTCCCGGTGACCAGAGTTGGGGTCAAAAGTGAACCAGGCCACTGGAAAGGAAGAAGTCAAAACAAACAAGGTCAAATAGTATGTTCTTCTTCCTCCCTCTCTCACCCTCACCTCCACCTCACACACACACACACACACCACGCCCACACACATACAAATTTGGCTGTATAGCCAAGGTGACTAATAGATTCATTTGCTGCTATAGAGTTGATTTATTGTGACCAGTGGTCTTTGTGGGATGCACACACTCACAGAGCAAGTCACGAGGAACAAGCCAGTAACCAGCACTCCTCCATGGCTTCTGCTTCAGTTCCTGCCTCCAGGTTCCTGCCTCCAGGTTCCTGCCTTCAATTCCTGCCCTGAGTTCCCTCAGTGTTGGACTGTGACCTGAAACCTACCGCAAAGTCTCTCTTTCTCTCTCACTCTCTCTCCCCTTGCTCTGTGTTCCTCCAAGTTTCCATTCCATTGACCCAGCCTTGCTAAGAGCTCAGACATGCAGGCCACTTTGTCCCATGACCAGATAGTACATTTCCTGGATCCCTGAGTCCCAGCCTCTCCCCAAAGATGCAGGCTCTGTTAGAAGTGACAGAGGAGATGGCTACCCATGGCCACCTTGTAGGGAGGAGATTGAAACACAAAGAGGTGACATGAGGTCACAAATCTCAAGCCCTATTAGATGGTGGCACCGTCTTCTGCTCACCCCCCCCACCCCAACCTGTGGGAAGTGTGGCCTTGCTCTGATATCTGACCTCCCAGCTGAGGACTGCTCACCATCAGAGGTCTGCAGGACCACAGTCTTGCTGTAGGGTCCGACACCAGAAGAGTTGAAGGCTTTGACTCTGGCATTGTAGGTGCTGTTGAAGTGGAGCCCGTCAATGGTGCACAGAGTCTCCTTGCCGACGTATACTTCCTGAAAGAGGCAAGGACATTCTTTAGGCCTCAGGGCTTCTGTGAGTTCCCCTGAGGGCACATCCACAGTAGAAGTGCCCTCATACCTACATAAGTACCAGGTGGAGATGCTCCAACCCAGACTGGTCAGCCTGGTGGGGCCAGGCTTTGTCATCTTCTTAAATTACTGGTCCCTCTGTCTGGGATACTGTAAGAGCAATGGGGTTCTGGGAGGATGGGAGTGTGGGTGTGAAGCTAGCTAGGATATTGCCTGAGAGCTCCCTGCCTCCACTATCAGCCCTGCCAGAAACCAAGGGGGACGCCTGCAAACCCTCCTGACCCCAAGGTCATCATCTTCTGCTCCTTGACACCCGTCTCTGCCATCTCTGCTGGTTTCTGTTTCTCCAAGACAGCGAGCTTCCTTGCGCCGGACCTTGATTCTCATTTCATAGGGTTTTTGCTTTATTCCCCATCCATTTATGAGTTCTCTTTGTCCTGCTAAGTGCCAGTTTGTGCTGGTTTGTTTGAAGCAAGATGTTACTCCATAGCCAGGCTAGCCTCAAACTCTCACTCCTTCTGCTCCAGCCTCTGAGTGCTGGGGTTCCAGGGATGAGTCACCACACCTAGCTAGCATCCATTTTCATGTCTTCATGAGCCAGCGGCTTGCCAGGTTCTGACGGGCCCAAGAGGACACCTTCCACTGCAGAAACATGCTTCCAAGACAGCCCACCTCACCACACTAGCGTCAAAGCCAGAGAGCCAGGCTAAAGGCAGTGGGGAAAAGCCCAGCAAAGAATCAGGTGGGAGGTATGTAAGATGTGGGCTAGCCTGTGGAAAGTGTATACATGTAGGCAGGGCCCTCTCTGAGGTGGCATTCCTCAAAATATCACCCAGACTTCTTTGCCAGGCACCTCTCCCTGAGGCTGTGGCCACAGCTCCTTCCATAGGAAGTGCTGCCTCCTAAGAGCGGAGGCTGACAGATTCTCTTGGTCTTTGTAGTCAAGGAGTTTACTTAGGGTAACACAGTCCTGTCTGGGCCTGCGCATTAGGGTTTTCAAACAACAGCAGGTGCCACCTACAACTGCCCTCCGGACCAGCAGGCCCCGGCAGGCCTCCCTGGAAATCACCCCCTGAGCAGCAGCGTCTAACTCACCCGGAACTGCCCCCCATCGCCGTCGTCCAGCTCCAGGATGTAGCCATCCGCGGGGCTGTGGGTAAAGGGCGGTGTCCTCCAGGCCAGGGTGACGCTGTTATTGCGGGTGCAGCACTTCTCCAGCTGCAGCAGGGGTACAGGTGGCACTGTGACAGGGGTCACTCTGGTCAGCACACGGCCACGGCACCCTCCTGCAGGCCCAGACCACTCCCACCCCCCCCCAACCCGCAGGACCGGTGCCCTGTGGCAGAAAGCCCTCTTTTTTTTCTCCCCCCCCCCCCCCGAGAGCTCCTGGGCCATGAGGCACACCCAGATGACCTCAGCACAAGCCATACTCTACATGGTGTAGAGTCAGTCACCTGCGTGGGTTCATATGGCAGGGGGCAGGGCAAGAAACCAAGTGAGAGCCAGCCTGCAACTTACACTTGATCTGGGAATGGAGGTGCTGCGGCTTGGATCTTAACGTCTCTCAAAGGCCCCTGTGTTAAAGGCTTGCTCACCAGGATGGCACTAGGGAGGTGGTAAAGCCTTTGTGAGGTGGAGATGAGTGGGCACATTAGTGGTGTGCCCATGAAGGAGGTGGTGGGGCCCTAGCTCTGTTCTCTTTCTCCTCTCTGGTCACAGGACAGGGGCAGGCTCTGCCAGGGCATTCTCACCACAGGTCCAAAGCCATAGGTCAACCTCAGACTAAAACTTCCAAAGCCATGCACCCAAACAAATCTTTCCCCTTTTATAAGTTGATCATCATGGATGTGACAAAAAAGATTACTGACACAGTTGAAACCTTGATGGAAGCTTTGGAAGCTTTGCAAGGTCACAGGACTAGACCATGGCACCAGACACAACTTCAGACGGCTGGGTAGCCAACCCATGGAGCAAGGGACGGAATCCGTCATGCTCTGAGCTCACTAAAGGCAAGCAGAAAAACCTGGATATATCCCAGCTCTATCCCAGCTCTATTCAGGCTCAAGAGGATCTGGAAGGTGACACAGGCCACTCTGGCCTGGTTTGGAAGGGAAAAACAGCAAGACTTGTTCTGTAAACCTGTAAGTTTTGTTTTGACTCAGAATGACCTTGTTGTCTGTCCAGGGTTGGCTGATGGCCCAGGAGAGGGAGACTGTGTCAACGAGAGGCATTTGGCCTCTTTCCTCCTGCTCTTCTACTTCCTTACTTCCTCTCCTCCTTTTTCCTTCATTCTTTCCTCCTCTCACTTCTCTTCTTCCTCTTCTTTTCTCCCTCCTCTTTACTCTCCTTTCTTTTTTTCTTCCTCCTCTTGTTAGGATTACAGGCACCCTATACCTGGCTCCTCCCCCTCCCCTTTGTTCTTTCTTCCACCTCCTCCTCCTTCTCTTCTTCTCCTTCTTCCTCTCTCTCTCTCTTTCTCTCTCTCTCTCCCTTCTCCTCCTCACCTAGGAATACACACTGACATCTATACAACCCCTCTGCCCTTTCTCCCTAGCACCTGCTGCTGGCATCAATAGGCTCCTGAATGGCTGCTTCTGTAACCTGGAAGTGTAGTCTGGGTAGGAATTTGCAGCCTTGCTCACATCTGCAACCTGAGCCCCTGGGCAGCCCAGGTTATGATGACACTGCCCCTGTTCATTCTGCTTCCTGTCCTTGATCCTTGGTCTAAGAAAGGGAGTTCAGGCAGCTGCAGCTCTCTCTTCCTGGCTGGGACCTGGGATCCTCACCCTTCCCTCTGCCACCACGGATGACGGGTTCCCGCCACCATCAAGACGCCCTTAGCCTGTGTGCCTCTCTGGGAGGCAGCGTCACTAAATGGGTCCGACCACAGCTCACCCCTACATTTCATCTGGACGAAGTCCAGCTGGTGGATGGCTTGCAGCAGCGGCTCGCTGTCCAAAGTCAGGTCAAATTCTGCAGATACTTTGGGCTCCAGGGCACCTTTGACCCACTGCTCCTGAGACATCTGCACGCGCTTGATCAGGGCATCTGAGATCTTAAAGGAAGCACAGAAAGGAGATTTGGGTCTGCAGAGGAAGAGCGGCCAGCCTTTGTGGGAAAGGCTCAGCTTTGTCTATGGCTCATCCAAGGGAAGAGGTGGACTGAGCCTGGACCTGAGTCATGGCCAAGCTTAAGTGAGCACAGCCACCTAGACGAACTGTGTTGTTTCAGCCATAGCTCAACTACATGATCATATTAATGTATGTGTGTGTGTGTGTGTATAATTTTCCTGATCATGTTAATGTGAAGAACCACCAATGAAATTAAAATAAATAAGGTGGCCCAACATTTATATGAAGTCGTGGTGCTGTTTTCAGGTAGGTAAACACACCCCTCATACATCAGTTTGGCCAGGCCGCTCACTTGGCAAGGTGAGATATACTAGCAGCTTGTCCCTGGGTGTGAAGAAAGTGCTTCCGTTGCCCCCAGGTCTTGAAGCCATGCCCATGTCCTCCTGCCGTGTCTTCTGTCAGCTGTCCCGTGGCTTCTGTTGCAAATCCTGACTGCAAATCCTGTGTTGCACCTGTGTTCTGCATTCCTTTGCGGCAAAATTCTGCGTCTGAGATCTGAATGCATGTTCCCGAAGAGTCATGATGTATGCCTTTCTCCTCCTCTTTTCTTTTTAGATTTATTTTTGTCTTATGTGTACAGATGTTTGCCTGCACTATGTGTAGGCCTGGTCCCCAAGGAGGTTAGAAAAGGGCATAGGATCTCCTGAAACTAGGGTTACAGAACATTGGGAACCACCACGTGTGTGCTAGGAACCAAACCCAGGTCTTCTGCAAGGGCAGTAAATGCTCTTAGTCGCTGAGCCATCTCTTTAGCCCTCTCTGCAGCCTTCTCTGAGAGGAAGCAATGGGATTCGTGACTTCTTCCACGGCTAAGCTGATGTATGACGATGTTCCTGAGCGTGAATGTCCTCAAGTTAGCCTGACTGTGGGGCAATAACCCTAACAGGACTGCACCATCTCTGGGGGAAGGTGGATCCTGCCCCTCGTCTCCCTCTGTGTAATTGGCCCAGCTCATGTGGCATAGATGGTGTATTCCCATTACTGGAATACACCGTCTGAAACTGGAGCATGGCATGTAGTCCCTAGAGATGATGCCTTTTCGACTTCTTGTTTACTGGCTGGTGCAGAACCAGGGTTCTTGCTAGTGAGGTTCAGAGCCATGGTGACAGCCCAGTTCTCCTGGCCTCACAGAGCAAATGGGAAGCTATTCAAATCCCAGCCAGGGAAGGACAGAGCCTAGAGCAAGACCTGGTTCAGGAAGAGCAGGGAGCATTGGTGGAACAGAAGGAAGTTGCCTTCAGTAGTAGTCCTCCGGGGCTACCTACCTGCAGGAACCCAGAAGGGTCATCTTCCTTGATCACCTCCAGGCAGTACTCCATCAGGCCTGTGGACTGGCGCAGCTTCAGTGTGCAGTGATTGATCTGGTCCCAAACCATCTGCAACGGAGAGAGAGCTCTGAAGAAGCCGCTTGTGAGGAGACATAGTTACAGCGACAGTGTATGAGCAAGAAACATAGTTACAGCGACAGTGTGTGAGCAAGAAACATAGTTACAGCAACAGTGTGTGAGCGGGGTGCTTGGGCGGCTGGGAAGTGCGCTGTGGCTCTGCCCACCTCACCGCCAGCGCTCGACTCTGCTGAAGAATCCATGGCCCACTTTTAGCACAGCAAAGCTTTCTGGGCTCTAGGCAGCCAGGGACACAGAGAAAATGATGTACACTTCCCTCTGTGATGTAGCCAGCTTCCTGACCGATCAGAGATAACTTCCCAGAACACGTGGCTCCCTTCCAACACACAACCATCTCTCTTTAAAGTAGTGTTTTCGGAGGGGTGTGTGGTACTCAGGAAGTCTGGGCTATATACTGAGTTTGATAGTTTGTGGCCAGCAAGAATTACACAGCAAGCCCCTATCTCACAAAACAAATGAATAAGCTAAGATAGGGTTTGGGGGATGGGGATGTAGTTGAGTTGGTAGAGCGCTTTGTCTAGAATGTCTGAAGCCCTGGGTTAGCCCAGGAATGGCAGTGCATGCCTGGAATCCTAGCACGCGGGAAGTGGAGGCAGCAGGATCAAGAGTTCAAGGCCATTCCCAGATACATAGCAAACTTGAGGCCAGCCTGGGCTGCATGAGATCCCCTCTAAAAGAAAAACAGGTGTTTGCTAATTCAGTTAGATGCCTCTGGCACAGACCTCCTAGAACCATTTCGGGTCATTCTCAGCCTCTACCTGAGCCAGGAACTTAGTGCTAGACAAAGGACATGACTCAAAGTCCCTTAGCAGAACCTGCCACACACATCTTTGCTGATTATGGGTACGTGAGATTTAAGAGTCTGAAGAAGGAGACCGAGCCTGACTGCTTCTGTTGCTGCCCTCACCTGCTAGGCAAGATGGGAGAAGACCTCACCCACTCGACAGACACAGGTGTCCAGAGCAAGTGAGAGAGGGGAGACTGATTTGAAGACAACAGGATGCTGTAGGCTGCCTGGCTTTGGAGACTGTTTGAGAGGACTCCTTGACTCCTGAGCATAACTGGAACAGCCAGCTCTGAGCCTCCCAGCCACATCCACTCACTCGGTCACCTAAGAGCATCCTGCGCTCGGAAGCAGGTGACATAACAGAGATAGAGGACTAGGTTCCTCGGTTCTTACCTTCAGCTTGTGCTCCCTCTCTTTGGTCACCTTGGTGAGCAGCTTGGCTTTCTGCCGGGTCAGTGCGTCCACCAGGGCATCACACTGGGCCACCAGGCAAGCTTCATAGTCCAATCCATTTTCCTGGGGAAGCAGAGAACCACGATGAGGAGATGCTGGCACCTATCGTCCAGAGGAAACGGCTCCTCTCAGAGCCGTTTCTAAGTTGGGGGCAGCATGAACCATGAATGTGCATCAAGAGAGGGTCCCATGAACCATGATACAGCTTACATGGTGAAACAGCCTGTGCTCTGCTCCTAGAATATTTTCAGTGCCAGGGAGAAGTAGTCATAAGAGATGGTTAAAAGGGAAGAATCCTGGGTGAGGTGGGGCTTGCCTGCCATGCCAGCACCTGAGGGGTGGAGGCAGCAGGAGCTCGACCTGAAGCCTAGCCCCGGGACCTTGTCTTTAAAAAGGAGAAGGAGGGAAAGGAGGAAGTAGGTAGGACACAAGTTGTTCACGGAATGATCTCATATACAGTCAGTGTGTGCATATGTGTGTCCGTGTGTCTATCTATATGTATGTGTATATGTGTGTGTGATTGTATGTGTATGGATGTACAGATGTGTGCCTGTGCATCTATCTATATGGATATATATATATATGTTATTGTATGTATATGGATGTACAGATGTGTGTCTGTGTAATTATATGTATGTATATATGTAGGTGTATGATTGTATGTATATGGATGTATAGATGTGTGTAGTGACAAGCTTAGTCATCTCGGATGAGGGTTGTTGGTCAGCTTTTTCTCCGTTCTATCTTCCTTACTCTCTAAAATCTCTGTACCACACACTTTGCTTTTTATAACCAGAAAAGGTAAAGCAAACAAAAGAATGTGAGTCTGTCTGTCTCGGTTCCTGGCTCTCTAGGATCTGAGTAGATTCTGACTTCTAACTAGGGGTTAAATTGTCCCCCTGGATCACATTCTGAATCATAAGCCCCAGGACCACACAGTGTGACTGTGTTTGAAGCCAGAAGGTAAAATGAGGCCACCAGGGTGGCCCCAGTCCAATCCAAATGGTGCCCTTATAAGAAGAAATCAGGACACAGACACACAGAGGGATGGCCACATGAGAACACGGGAGGACTGCCATCTGCAACCCAGGCAGAGAAGTCACCTTGCACTTGCAGCCCCTGAGCTGAATCCATTTCTGTTGCTGTCTCTGCTTCATCCCTGATCTCTTACGCTAGCATTCATAGAAAACTAAGACTTCTGTGTTTCATGAAACATCAGAGCCCAGTGACTTAAGGCTCCCGTGGGAATCAGGCAGGGTGGGCACTGAATGTCTATCATCTTCGCGCTTTTGAGACTAAGGCCAGCTTGGGCTTTGTAATGAGACCCTGCATATAACAACAACAACAACAACAATAATAACAATTTTTAAAGGAGGAAGAAAGGTAGGGGAGAAAGAGGAGGATAAAGAAGAAGAGAGGTTCAGAGGCCTTAATCCTTTTCTCGGGCAAGACATGAAAATGCTCCAGGCCTTTCTCTGTACACAGGGAGCCTCTGCATGTGTGTGGTGAACTCTCTCTCCTTGCACACAGCTCACAGAAGGGAGACTCACTGCTCTCTGTACGTCTCTCAGGCTCAATATGGGACATAGCATAGACACTCAGATAACGCGTTTGTTTAGGAAATGAGGGGTTTATGTTCTGGTGCATGAATTACACAAACGCATCTAAGTACAAAAGTGTTACCTGTGTATAAATGGATGGAGGCTGGCACCTTCAGTACCCAGGGCGGTACAACCAGACAGGTCGGCCCTCTAAAAACATCACTGCTGAAAACCACTGCCTCAAAAGCAACCCTTCTCCTTCCTCTCCGTGTGACAAACATCCCACCTGGTCTGTCCAGCTGTCTGTCCAGCACCAGCATCTGCTCACCTGGATCTGCTGTAATATGTTCTTGAGCTGAACCAGGAACTCCTTCGCCTCTTTGGCCTTATCTGAAACTCCATTTAAGGCCTGAGACAGCTGGGCCTGGAAAGACATCAAGGATGGAGAAGCTTGTTAGTGCGGGAGGCGTGCACCTGCACCCGTCATGCTAGCCTGTGTTTGTAAGCGAGCTAAACCGGTCCCCTTGGTAAGTTGTCCTCACTTAGAAAAGAGGCAACGGCTGATCCACAAGCTGAACAGTGCATGCCTGTTTCCCGTTTGTTGTTAGTGTTGCTTACATGCGGGGCCGAGAGGGAAGCTCGGGATCTTGCTACCTGCACATGCTAAGTAGCCACTCTGTCACTGAGCTACATCCCCAGACCAATATGGATCTATTTCCCGGCAGGCCTTGGTAAGTTGTTCTAGTTTCATTTCTATGGCTGTGATAAAATAACCTGGAAAAAGTAATGTAGGAGAGGAAGCGTGTGCTTGGCTCGAAATCCCAGCTGATGGTCCATTATTGCGGGGAAGTCAAGGCAAGAACATGAGCACCACACCCACCGTTAAGAGCATAAATGCTTGGTTCCATGCTTGCTTGCTTTTAGCTGGCTTCTTCCTCTTATACGGTTCAGGACTCCTTGCCTAGGAAATGGTGCTGCCCACAGCAGACTAAGTCTTCCCATGTTCATTAGCTTAGTTAAGACAGCATCACCACACAGGGAGAGATGCCTATAAGTCAACCCAATGTCAATGATCCCTCATTGAGAGACTCTCTTCCCAGGGGATTCTAGTTCAGGTTGACACCTAAAACTACCCAGGACCTGAGTGTTGAGTAGTGTATACTCTACCTGCTGACCCCAAAATTGTATTCAAGACTTATGGGCTAATAGGTTGAAACTAACAGCCTGCTCTGCTGGCTGCAGTGCTCTGGACAAGAACACAGAGGGGCACAGGCCTTTGCCTGCCCTGTCCTTTCTCTTCCTGCCACAGACAGATTTGTCTCCCATCAGTAGTACTGTAAATATTGCTGACCCCAGTCAGGCTCCACCCTCCACCTACCTATGTTATTCTGCACATAGTCACCTTTTCTGTCACTGAGGACAGGGCGAGCCCCCAAGCCAGGCCCGGATCTATGAGCTAACCTAAGCCATGGTTTTAGAGTAAAAATGTTGAACATGGAACAGAACTGAACCAGAAAAGCCAGGACCTCAGGCCCTCCTCACACCCATTTCCTTCCTGTGTCAACTCAGATGTCACCATTTATTGAACCCAATGAATCAACCCCATCCCTCCCTTCCTCTGTTCTTCATAATCTTCTTTTGTAACTGTCCAACCTAGAAGGCTCACCATCCCTACTTCCCTTCAAGGACAGCAACCACCTCGGATAGGATACCTAGGACTCTTCACTCCAAGGACAGCAACCGCCTCGGATGGGGGTACTTAGGACTCTTCCCTCCAAGGACAGTAACTGCCTTGGATGGGGTACCTAAGGACTCACAGCTGAGCTCCCAAGCAGAACTGAGTGTGTGCTAAGTCAGTATCCACTGCAGGAATGAGCCGGGGAATGTGGTGCTAGACAGTCCCTGGTTCTCTGGTGGGGCCCTGAATAGGGGACCAGCATCCGGGAACTTCCTTAGAAATACAGTCTGCTGTTTTACCCCAGAGATGCCTGAGGGAAGCTCAGGATTCTGGGCCTAACCTTCTCTTCAAAAGCTTCTGCTGTAGCCTGAGACCCATCAGCCTGTGCAGAGGTGGCCTCAAGTAACATGGGGACCCATGCCTGTAATCTAAGACTCAGTAGGATGAGGCTAGAGGATCATAAGTTCAAGTCCAGCCTGGTCCATCTGGTGACACTCTGTCTCAGTAATAACATAAGGCCATAAAAAACCCAACCAAACAAAATAAAAACTGACCTGAGCTCCAAGCAGAATAACTTTCAGGCAAACACCCTAAACTGACCATCAATCAAAGGAGACAAATGGCCTTTCGGTTTTGTGCCTGGAACCCGCTACATCAGGCCTGGCAACTTTCCCTCATGTCCTTCCTATGGTCCTTGTGAGCAGCTATATGCAGCTATATCATGTCCAGCAACCCCGAAGACTAGTCACCACTGGGCCACTGGATGAGCTTAGTGGGCAGGGTTGCTGCAGGTCAGGCTTTGAGGGAGACCCGTTCTGGGGTCTGAGCGCAGGCGTTTTGGGGGGCAACCATGGGAGGCAAGACCCAAGAAAGAGATGAGTATGGTGGTTTACATGTGTAAACCCAGCACTCAGGAAACTCAGACAGGAGGCTAGCTGTGAGTTCAATTCTAGTCTGAGTTCTATAATGAGTTCCAGGAAGCCTGGGCCATAGAATGAGACAGAGTCTCAATCAACCAAAGAAATTAACAAACAAATAGAGACAGCCACATTTGCGTCCCTCTGTCTGATAGCCGTATGTTGTAAGGGTCTGCTGTCACCTGAAATGGCTTCTTTCCTTCCTATCGTGTCTGCTCCAGCCTGGTTGAGGGAGGCCCTGTTCTCAGCAGCCCTTGCCTTCACTAGACTATCCTCCTGTGTTGACTTTTTCTCCGACTAAATTGTTTGGTCTTGAGAGATGGAGACCTTGCCTGTCTTGTCTAATAAATATTTGTGGAACAAATGGTTTATTTGAGGTTGGACAACAGGTCAGGGAAGTTTCCACATTGTTCAGAGAAGTCACAGTGAGTAGCTGAGCTCTTGTGTGGCTTTGTACCTCACAGGAACATGAAGATGGCTGAGTTCCACTTTGGACACACAGGGGCCCTCACTTACCATCAGGCTGCTGAAAACCTCACCAAGCAGATATGCCCTGACATGTGCTGGTACCTTAAACCAGTGTTTCTCAGCACCCCCAGTGTTGTGTCCCTTTAATACAGTCCCTCATGCTGTGGGGACCCCCAGCCATAAGACTATCTTCACTGCTACTTCAGAACTGTAATTTTGCTGCTGTTATGAATACTAATATAAATATATGAAATGCAGGATATCTGATATGTGACCCCTGGGAAAGGGTCGTTTGACCCCCAAAAGGTTCTTGACTCACAGTGAGAACCACTGTTTTAATCCCAGGACTAGGGAGGCAGAGACAGGAGGATCTTTGTGAGTTCGAGGCCAGGCTGGTCTACAGAGCTAGTTCTAGGACAGCCATGAGTACACAAATAAACCCTGTACCGAAGAACAACAACAACAAAAATCACACAAAATAGAAAAACCCATCATCCCCAAAGGCCTTTGCCACATTTCACTGAAGTGAAAGAAACAAAATTCAAGCAAAATCCAGTTATCTAGAAAAATACCCAGAATCCAGACGCATGTGGCCACGCTCCGTTGAGGTGGGCGCGGAGAATGCGAGCTCAGGTCCTCATGCTGGCACGGAGCCAACTCCCTGGTCACCACCTTTGCTCCTTGTTGTTCTTTCAGTTATTTATCACGGTGACAAAAAGTCTGACATATTCGCATGGGAGAACTATGTAAGGACCGGAGTTACACTACTCCATCCATGGAACCACTGGACCAGATACTTTCCGGATCCTCGGGCAGAGCCTACCTACTTACACCTTAGTCTGGGCCTCCAGTTCCAGCAACGTAGAGGATGGATCTGTTTGTTTGTTTGTTTGTTTGTTTTTCTCCAAGACAGGGTTTCTCTGTGTATCTCTGGCTACCCTGGAACTCCCTCTGCAGACCAGGCTGCCCTTGAACTCACAGAGATCCGCCTGCCTCTGCCTCCCTGAGTGCTAGAATCTATTATTTTAAGTTACTTGATTTGCACTGACTTACCTGATAAATCTAACCAATGAACCCATTACGTACAGTCTTTTCTTCTAGCCCTTCATGAATACTCATTCATAAAATGGAATTACACCACACATGTACTTTGTCCACGTAACACAAACAGACATTGACCTTCCGGAGAAGAGGAGGAGGCAGGCCTAGGTCCACTACCTTCAGGATGAGCCAAAAGCAGAAACCCAAGTGCCCTGCAAGCGTGGTTGCGTTCTGCCAACTCTCTCTAACCAGTCCCCACCCAGCCTTTCCTGAGGCGGACGGAGACTAGGGAACCTACTTGAGGACAGTTCCAAAGGAGCCAGCTCCTTGGGGTTCAGTCCTGTTTCCATTACATTGTCCAGTGGCAGAGCCTGAGGTGGGAGCAGCTCCTTCCCAGAGCCAGCCAGGGGAACAGGACAATTAGGGCAAGCCAGCCATGCTTCTAATTCTGACAGAGGGTACAGTTATGAGAGATGACCCACCTAGGCCTCACTGCATGAGAGCACAGAGGCGAGGCTGTGGACAGGGAAGCAGTCTCTGCCACTCAGCCTTTGCACATACAGTAATAAGCGTGACGATGACAGGGCTTTTCCTTGTGTCACGTGACAGGTGACATCCATTGTGTTTGGTCACAAAAGTGCATCATTTCTGGGCTGGTGAAATGGTTCAGAGAGTAAAGTTCTCGCTGTGCAAGCCTGGAGACCCGAGTTTGGGCCAGTTCCTAAGTAAAAGCCAAGTGTCTGTAACCCCAGTGCCACATGGCATGGGGAAAGGCAGATGCCTATGGCCAGGCGGTGGTGGTGCACGCCTTTAATCCCAGCACTCGGAAGGCAGAGGCAGGTGGATCTCTGTGAGTTTGAGACTAGCCTGGTCTACAAGAGCTAGTTCCAGGACAGGCTCCAAAGCTACAGAGAAACCCTGTCTTGGAAAAAATAAATAAACAAACAAACAAGCAAACACTTTAAAGCCGGGTGGTGGTGGTGTGCACCTTTAATCCCAGCACTGGGAGGCAGAGGCCAGCGAATCTCTGTGAGTTCAAGGCCAACCTGGTCTACAAGAGCTAGTTCCAGGACAGCTAGGGCTGTTACACAGAGAAACCCTGTCTTGAAAAACGGGGGAAAAAAAGAAAGAAAGGAAGGAAGGAAGAAGAAAGAAAGGCAGAAGAAAGAAAGGCAGATTCCTGAAGCTCATCAGTCAGCCCACCTAGCCATTGGAGAACCATTGAAGAAGATACCCGATGTGGATCTCTGGCCTCTCCTGTCACCACAACACAAGTGTACTCAAATGCACAATACCATCGTAAGCATGTACATAGACAAG